TTTTAGAAGTTGGTATGTTTGTCTTGTAGGTTTAGTAGCCATCACAGAAAAATAATTGTCACACAAAAGTATATATTTATATAAAGTAGACATCACAGGCTATTTACCTAAGGTTAGTTTGACACTTTTTAGCCATTTCATCGCTAATCTCTGCTAAATATTGGAATAAAATTGTGTTTTTTCTTTATTTTGGCATATACACATATAACAAGGTTTTTGTAATGTGTATTTTGTAAAGCTGGTGTGTGCTATTCCTGCACAGAAACCCATATTGTGTTCAGCTACATCTGTTGAGTATAACGATACCCACATCCATATTTCTACATATATATCTCCCCCCTCATCCTTATTTCCCCCCTTCTCTAATGCCTGATGGCAGACAGCTGTTTCACTCTTAGAGCCGGTGCTCTGCTCAGCTCCGCCATACACACTGCTAGCTCCCCTCCCTGCGGTTTACCTGACATAGCATGGGAGGAAGACTTTTGATCTCCGACACAGGTACCGATGATGCACTGATTCAAACTGAGCGCCGGGTAGTCACGTGACCCCGGTGCTCCTTCACAGAACAGGAGGGAGAGGTGCTCCCCCTACCAATGTACATTACGGACGGTTCCCTTGTAGAGTTGCACTCTGCCTGGGAGGCTCAGGGGGTGCAGGGAGTGCAGGCTGTGTCGGACTGACAAGTCATTTTTGCGCCAACCCACCCTGTTTTGTGCCAGTTTTGCCAACCCCATGGCAAGCCCCTGATTATGAAAAATGAGTTGCAGGAGGCATTATAAAAAGTCAGTGGGCAATTGACCACCCACTCTGTGGAGAACAAAGCTTTACTACACAGCATCAGTGACAGTGCTTCAGTGTGGAAAAACAGTGCCCTATCAGCTTCTCTAAACTGTATCTGTGGAGGTAGCAGGCACGCAAGACTCAGTCAGTCAGGGCAAAATCACTACAATGAAAGGCATTTGAAAATAAGGAGGAGCAGGAGAAGTTAATGTTTCTTTTTCATTAGAAATAATTTCGATGGGAGAGGTGAGAGGCCTTTGGATTTCAACAAGCAGATGATGACGTCTCAAGTATTAAACTGCTGGAACAGAAAACACTCAATCATTTAGGACAGCTAATGAATAATAGCTGATGTACAAGCAGACACAGAGCAGGCCACACACTCTTCTTCTCATTTAAGTAGCTCAGAGGCACCTCAGTAGGAGGCAAATTAGGATCATTTTTAGTGGTACTAGTCTCATTTCAGCTGCTGGCTGCTTCACTTGCTCTTACCAAACTACAAACAGAATTAAGCCAAAACATAAGCCAACCTAGCATATCATGGATCCTGTTAATACGTCTGTCTCACCAGCATGTTAGGTTTATGAATCAGATTGCCACTTTTGCATTAATCTTAGGATCACACAGTTAAGCTAGTATCAGTTCAGGGCAATTAGCAAATTGTTCACTCAGGCGATCATTAAGTAGTTCTTCCAGACCACTGCCTGGGTCTGCCACCATTGTGCTGTCAAGAAGAGGAAGGCATGCTGGCCACTAGGAGCACTCCATACATCTGTGGTGAAGTGAACCCACTGACCTACAGCCTTAGCCAGTTGCTTCTTAACTAGTACTATCGACCTGCAGAAAGTGAATTGTGAGGGAAGAACATGTTGCGTAACAAAGGTCTGTATCAGCTGATTAAAGGGCACCCCTTATAGCTCAGGAAAAAAAGATCCCTCTGCTGCAATCAACTCGGCAATAGATTGGATGACTTTGCTAAATAATAATCTAATAAAGAAACCAGACTCACATCCAGCAAAATTGCATAACACAACTCATGTTTAGTGAAACAGCTGGGTGCCTAAGCACTGGACAGGAGCACTTGTTCTGAAGTCAGCATGAATTGAAATAATCTCCCACTACATATGTACCAGCTCAAAGGGCATAGAACAAGCAGTCATGCAAAAAAAAAGTCCAAGGTAGAAACAATAGTTTATTCTAGTAAAAAAATAGGATACTTAATCATAGACAAACATGTAACGGAGACCAGTCTCTAATAAAGGGAAGCTACAATTCTAATGGAAGGTAACCATTAATTACCAAACTGGAAAAAGAAGTGAACAATTACATAGTGATAACATTAATAATCTATATAAAGCTAATACTGAGCAATTATAATACTGCCTTTAAAGTATCCATAATAATCTCCAGTATTACTTAATAAAGAATGGAACATCAAATTCAGAATTGATGCCAAGTGGTCTTCTGGTTTTTAACTGGAAAATTGACCTGACACCTATGTAATCCAAAATACTATGCAAATTGCCACCTCTAGGAAGGGAAGTTGAGGAGTTTGTGGACAAGCTCCAATGGATCCCCTTATTTACAGGCCATGGCATGGACCTTTCTAGAAAATGGACTGCAATGATTGTCCAGTTGATAGTTTTTTAAAATTAAAGTTTAGTAGATATACCCCCACCCGCCGCATGCTGGTTGGGGTATAAGGGAGGTCTCTAAACTCTCAAATAGTAATATGGGGGTTATATTTACCTCCATGTGCTTTTTTATTTTTTTATTTTTTTAACTTATAAGTGCTGGACACTTGCTACATAATTAACCCTCAGATTGCCAAATAGTTAGGATTTTTAAAATCTTTGCTCAGATTTTAACAATCCGGACCCGGATTTCAGACATCCCGCAGTGTTCAATTTGGCTGAAATCTGGACCAGATACAGTCTCATCTGGATCATTGTCTGCAAAATATGGATATTATTAAAATGCGTGTACAATATCTAGGTTTTATTCGTTTAAATGACCCCATACAGAACTTTATGTTTTTTCTCTGTTCAATACAGTACCATTTAGACTTTGTGAATAGCCCTGTAAGCAAACTGTTCAATTAACATTAATTGGAGGACAGTGGCAGAAGAAATTAGGCACTATAATTTAATGAGAGGAAATGGTTATGGAGCATACCGTGCCCATTTAAATGGTGTATTCTACTAGTTATGCTGAAAACTTATTGTATATTGACCTGAAAATGGTTTCATCTTTAAGCCAACCACTTTTGTCAATGATAGTAAAACTTCTGTATACGTTTAGTATAATTAAATCAGATAAATCGGCTAAAACTGCGGAAGAACATTTACGATGATTAAGTAACTGGGATAAAATAATAAAATACGTTTCAGAGTAAAGAGTAATTGCCTTGCGTGTTTGGTCATCCTGGAAGATAGTGGTTAATTCTTTGAATAAGGCCTTTTAGAAGGGAGCTGGAGAGGGGTGGGGTGTGCCACCAGATGTTACATTGAAAAAAATATCTAAAAATGTTCAACCTAGACCATACATTCATGGTAGACTAGATTGTCTGAAACATATGATAAAAAAAACTTGTTAAATAGGACTGGCAAGTGTGCTTCATGCATAAATTTTACTTAAAAAAACACCTTACTTAAAGAAACACCTTAAGCACCAAAACAACTTTTGCTTAATAAAACTGTTTTGGTGTAATTGTTTCTGTGTAATTATCTGTCATATAAATTACTTTGTGATTTAAATCACTTTGTTTATACAGTCCGTGTCGCACATCCCAGCTTGTGACTTGCATAGTCTCCCTACACATTTTCTCTAAAGAGTGATCTAATGTTTAAGCTTACTTTATTGCACAGTCTGTTTAATTTAGAATCTCTAATCTCCTGTTTTGTTAATAGCCTTTTAGACCATGCAGGGGCCTCGTGTGTGATTAAAGTTAAATATACAGAAAATGAGATAACAGTTTCAAAAGCAAGTTAACATCTGATTACAAATAAAAAAATTCATGCATGCTGTGTGAGTCACAGCCAGGGGCTAGGACAGCATGCACAGAAACAAAAATGATTTAACTCCTAAATCGCAGATAATTGAACAGTGAGATTGCAGTGACTTGATGTACACACTAAAATTGCTATTAACTGTGCCTTTATGGTCCACAGGCAAATGGACATATTTCTTCCTATGAAGTATCCATGAGTTGGCACCAGTAACAACTAGGGAGCCTATCCCTGCTAGGAGTTACATTAGATAACATTAGCACACTTGGTAAAGTTATCTGACATAAGGTCAGTCCTCCATACAATAACAGGCAGTATTTTCAGAGAAAAGGCAGTGTTAACATTGCCCCTAGGGACACCTCCAAGTGGTCACTCCCCAGATGGCCACTGGAGGTGCTTCCTGGCTCAGTGCTGCACAGTAGGCAGCACTGCCATTCAGCGTCTCCACGCTCTGCATGGGGACGCTAAAATTTCCTCATAGAGATGCATTGATTCAATGCATCTCTATGAGGAGGTGCTGACTGGCCAAAATGGTGTTTGGTCCTGCCCCTTGCCAATTTTATGCAATCCAATGCTTTCCCCATGTGAAAACATTAGATTGGCTAAAAATATGCAATTCTGATGATGCCACCAAGGGGGCGGAGCCAGCACCGGTGGACCCTCGTGGTGCTACAAGTAGGGTGAGTTTTAATTCCTTTTTAGGGGTCTAAGGAGGGGGCAGAAGCTACCTTAATGGTGGGTTTAGCAATATAGGGTCAGGAATACATGGTTGTGTTTCTGACCCTATAGTGTTCCTTTAAGTTGAAGATTTCCCTTATCAGTGTCCCATAGTTCCTTAGCACTTACTGAATAATCCATTGAATTTCAGAGTCTCCAGTTGTGCAACATAAAACTATACATTTACTGGGACTGCAGAGGGAACGACAGGTGTTGTTTTATTTAGATAACGGATGCCCTTTGTGGTCATATTCTTACTTTATTTGATAAAGTTTCTGAAATGGAAAATGTTTTTGTATGTTGTAGTAATAAGTTTATTTCAGTGTGCCTTCCAACCCCAACCTGCACAGTAATAGGTTCCAGAATCTTCAATATTTAATTTCTTTACTGTTAAAGAATACGCTGAATTTTTCTTTCCAGTGACACATTTTTCATTATTATATCCAGAATCATAGAAAGCATTCTCATCCAAAGTATAGAGAATTCTTTTCAGTTCTTTGTTTGGTTTCTGTATATACCAGTGAATATAATTGCCACCGGGAGAACTGGAAGGCGTACATTTCAATGTTGCTGTATATAGTGTAGACTGTACAGGAACAAATTTAGTAATAGAATCAGGGGACTGATTAATTGTGAAACATTCATATCCATCTAGGAAAAAAAAAACAGGTAAGTAGGACATCTACTGAGCTCTACATCATGTTAAATCATTTTTTTAGAGAAAAATACATACATGTAAAGAGGAAAACGAAGAGTGATTGGTGTAGAAATAGCATCATATATATTTATGAAATGATTGTCTTGATGAAAAGCTGCACTTCTTCACCATAAAATGATTTTGCCGATCTGAGCATCCACAGGAAATTACATTTCAGTTTTGAAGATAATCGTGCTTCCTGGAAACACAGACAAGATTACTGTGGCTCGGTCTCTTTATTCTGTATTTAAAGTGTGAATACAGTGCATCATTTCTCAATTCTGTGCTTTAAGCAGTCAGTCAAAAAAACTTTTTGTTTTTATAAATACATCAACATTTCTGATAAATTCTCCATGATTCAGAGGAGTGCTATATAAGGCCTGGTTCCACCTATTTTCACAGCTTCATCACCAATACTTGTCTACACTCTCAGTGTGTAAATATCAGAGAAAGTCACTAGGAAGGACGGGAAAGTAGACCACCCACTGCCAACGCCTGAACTTGCACTAGTGCTCTTATGAAGTTCATAATCACACAGCTGTCATCACTAAACAAATAATTAGGGCCAAGTACTTGCAGATATCAGCATGTATCAGCTGATTAGTAGCTTTGTCTCCTACAATGAGTGCACTACCTGGATGTTCCAATGCATGCCAGGGCTAGCATGCTCTGGCCTTGGGCTAGTGCTGGATGCCTCAGCAGTCAGCACTTGTTTGTCAGTTGATTACAAACAAATACTTTTTCCTATTTTCTCCCTGTCTGCACTTTGGGGTCTGGCAGTGAGATATCTAAGTTAAAGCAATATAAAGTCCACCCAAACAATAAATAGTAAACTACTTAGTGTGTTTGTACTTTGTCTGAGTTCTCAGATCAGCTGTTGGTTTAGTGACAATATATATATTGCATTATAATCTATTATATTATAATCTCTGGCTGTGGCTAGAATGCACCCAGCATTTTGAAAAAATTTTAATTTTAAAAGTTTTTCCTAATGCCAGGTGCATTCTAGCCACAGCCATAGATTGTAATAAATATAGTGAAAAAGGCTTGCACTTACGGTCTTTTTCCTTTGTAAAAGATTCCTTTTTCATTCCTTGTTAAAATATAATCAACGTTTCATCCATCATTCGTGGCTTTCATCAGGATCAGTTCAGCACAAATACATATTCTAACTAATACACTTATATAGCTAAACAAGCTATGTGATTTATATGTACATTAAAGTTCTTTCAAGCCTATCTTAAAGTGATACTTGTGTATATATTTACATTAATGTGATTAATATATACAATAAAGTGCTTATTAATACCTTAAAGTGACATTGTTGCTTCTATATACTCTAAAGTGCTATGTTATTAAGTGAATATTATATACACTAAAGTGACCATGTGATTGATATGTACATTAAAGTGCTTCTAAACATATCTACAAATGCATATATTTACATTAAAGTGCTTAAAAGTGAATTCGTTAAAGTGCTTAAAGTAAATTAGAATCTGTATCAATATGTATTGTAAACTGTATTTAATAAAATACATATGATCAAATAATTTTTAAAGATGTATACTGTACACTTGAATATAACTGTTATTACTAAATGTGGTTCTATTTCCAATTACAAACTTATTTTAACTTTAATTATTAAGTTCGTATGATCTAATCTATTTCTCAGCTCTTACAATTAATTATAAACTTAACTAATCATGTTCAACTTTCTTTTCGCTCTCTAAATCAAGTAACAGTATGGTTGATAAAATCTTCTTCAACTCTGAGAGGCCAGTTCTTTTTCCGTAAAGTTACTAATATAAACGAATGATAAGATATCATTTCATTTGATCCTCAGGGTGCAACTGTGTCCAATTCCTGTATCCAAAATGTCTCTCTTCTTAACAATGTATTTCCTCTATCTCCTTCCCTTCTGGGCAATGGTACATGATCTATTGCTTCAAATTTTAATGCTGCCAGTGGGTGTTTATACTCCAAGAAATGTTTCGCCACCGGTTTATCAGTGCGTCCATCCCTATAAGCCGTCCTAATATTCGATCTGTGCCCTCTAATGGCATAGTTGTGTCTTGGTTTTCCCGATATAGACCAAACCGCAGGGACATGATATTTTATACACGACAAATGTTGCCCTGCATGTAATTGTGTGTCTTATCTTATAGATCTTATTTTTATGTGCATGATTAAAAGTTTGTGATGGCACCATATGACCACAGGTCACACATCCTAAACAGTGTACAGTAATGTGTTCATAGATTCTTTTATGTAAGGGGCGGATGGTCCTGCCCACATATTGAAACCCACATGGACATATTAAAACAATAATATTTTTTGTAAAACAAGTGATAACATCTTTAATGGTGTGCTCTTCCATATTATATTTACTCCTAAATTTACTTATTCCTTTTAAGGTACTGTTTCTACTGCATTTACACCCCACACATTTACCGCATGAATAAAAGCCTTTTTTGTTACCACTTAGAAACGTTTTAGGCACTTCTTTCCTAGGGTGATTAAAAGTTAAGATTTGCTTTAAATTGGGTGCACCTCTAAATGTAATGAACGGTTTGTCTGGGATAATCGCCGATAACTCTTTATCTTTTTTTAGAAGGTGCCAATGTTTATTGATAATAGATTTTATTTTATTTTTAATTTTGATTATAATCCAGAACCAAAGGTAATTTGTCTAGTTTATCCTGTCCACCATTATTATTCCTTTGTTTAAAAACCAATTCATCTTGATCAAATTCCTTTACTTCATCTATCTAATATGTTGGTAGGGTATTGTTTTTGAGAGAATTTGTTTATCACCATTTTTGCCTGTTCCACAAATATCTCTTTATCAGTGCAATTCCTTCTTATTCTTTGCAGTTGTCCTTTAGGGATATTATTTAACCACGGGGTGTAGGCCCCATTCATTTTGATTAATATTTTCTAAAATAATTTCTAAATCTATTTGTGAGGCTTTCCATATAAAAAAGATATCATCGATATATCTATGATAGGAGACCAGGTTCGTCCCTCAATTCTGGCTGTTGTAGATCTTTTCTGTTTCCCAGCCTGACATAAATAAATTAGTATAACTAGGGGCGAACCTGGTCCCCATAGCGGAGCCCTTTAATTGTAAATAAAACCTAGAGTTAAAAAAGAAATTATTATTTTCTAAAATCCATTTAATACTATCAACTAAAAATTGGATGTGATTCTCATTAAAAATTCCTGATTTTTTTATATGAGTAACTTTACGAAAAAGAACTGGCCTCTCAGAGTTGAAGAAGATTTTATCAACCATACTGTTACTTGATTTAGAGCGAAGATAAATTTGAACATGATTAGTTAAGGTTATAATTAATTGTAAGAGCTGAGAAATAGATTAGATCATAAGAACGTAATAATTAAAGTTAAAATAAGTTTGTAATTGGAAATAGAACCACATTTAGTAATAACAGTTATATTCAAGTGTACAGTATACATCTTTAAAAATTATTTGATCATATGTATTTTATTAAATACAGTTTACAATACATATTGATACAGATTCTAATTTACTTTAAGCACTTTAACGAATTCACTTTTAAGCACTTTAATGTAAATATATGCATTTGTAGATATGTTTAGAAGCACTTTAATGTACATATCAATCACATGGTCACTTTAGTGTATATAATATTCACTTAATAACATAACACTTTAGAGTATATAGAAGCAACAATGTCACTTTAAGGTGTTAATAAGCACTTTATTATATATATTAATCACATTAATGTAAATATATGCACTAGTATCACTTTAAGATAGGCTTGAAAGCACTTTAGGGACCAAACTTAGGGACCAAACTTCTGAAATAAAAGGGAATCATGACATGTCACACATGTCATGTGTCCTTAAGGGGTTAATGTACATATAAATCACATGGTCACTTTAATATAAAATCCACTTCATAACACTTTAGTGTATAAAATAGCACTTTGGTGCACATTAAATAGAAGAGTTATTTTAACACTTCAAGATATGCTTGGAAGCACTTGAATGCACATATTAGGTACATGATCCCTTTAATACAAAATCCACACAATAACACTTTAGTGTATAGAACAGCACTCCAGTGCATATTAAATAGATGAGTTATTTTAGCATATTTGGCAAGATATTAGTATAGGTGTTTTTTTTTAAACGTGAATGAAGATATATATATATATATATATATATATATATATATATATATATATATATATAAAATTAGGTTATGGTGGGGAAAAATTGTGATTGAAAACCCCTTCCACCTGAAGTCTGTGGATAGTTAATACAATGTTAAACAAAAATCTGCACATCCGTCAAGCCATAAGACTTGCTTTTCCTAAATTGTGTTCCAAGCAGTTGTATACTGCAAACACAGATTAAAAGGAATCCATGTTTAAAATGGAATGAGGCAAAAATGTGATTCTTTGTTAAACTAATTTGCATATGTCCACCCAGAATCCTTTGCGGTTTTAACATCACTGCAGATTTGGGATTTCTGTGGGAAAAGCAAGTCTTATGGCTTGACTGGTGTGCAGATTTTTGTTTAACATTGTATTAACTATATATATATATATATATATATATATATTTGTTTGATGGGTTCTTAATTTAAAACTTTGTTGCAAAGAGAGATAGAAATGTATCCTACTTGTTAAAAAAATTACAGCAAAGAGTATTGGTATAAATATGGAATGAAAAATCATGCTCTAATGAGTGAACAGTATGGATTGTGGTTTTAAGTGTTATATGATCGGTATCTTTTAAAAGGGAAAAGACCGTGAGTGCAAGCCTTTTTCACTATCTTTATATATGTATATATATATATATATATATATATATGTAACGGATCACCTGGCACCCCGACTGGGTACCTCCGTTAAAGGATGCTCCTAGCGCTTCCTGAGGACTCCAAGCACTGCAGCAGACACCACAATCACCGAACCAGAGAAGCGTATACCTTCTCTCAAGCATTTGAATGCTGTAGACAGTTGAATAGGAACCATACGAATAGGTTTACTCTCCTAGCAGTCAAACTGGAACAGCATACAATAAATCCTTCCCCCAATAATGAGACGACACTTCACTTTGAGGGTTAAAACAGGAACTCTCCGTACTGTCACATACAGTCTCTTTTATTCCCAATCCACAAACATAGTACAGCCCACAGGGCGTTACAAAACAACCAATCACATCACAGTTACATCCCACATATTCCCTCCCCTTATCCTGAGAGGAAACTCAATTATACATACAGTTAAAACATACTTTCTACCCAACTTTCATAACTCCAAAACCATACATCACATTCACATAAAATTACATATTCACAATCAATCCATTCAGGGGAACAACATATTCAAAAATGGCACAAATCAGACAAGGGGTTCAAAAGTTAGTAAAAAGTCCTTTGTGACTAAATGAAGCATGGCTTTCTGGCCCAAACCAGTTTCAGAGTCTTCTATCCTGGAGATAAGTAATTCAATTATCTCCCAGGACAGACACAAGACTCCATTAAGCACATGGTTGCAAAAGACACAAAACACTTTAAAATACATAAAGTCACATTTTACACATAACACACAGACATTTCACATATCCCCAGATAGCTCAGGTCTGAGCGCACATTATTAAGTGAATGGCGCTCGGACCACACAAATACAGTTTAATCGCCATGGAACCAAAGTCTTTACAGTCAGTTTCATACGAATGGGCTCCATGGGATTCCTATCTGGGGTATAACACATTCACATAAGGTCTGGTCCATAGTCCAAAGGCAAGAGGCGGGCAAGCAGCCCCCTCCAAGGACACGTGGCGAGGCCGGTTTCGCCACATTTCTCCCCTTTACCATCCAAACTAACAGGGTATCTGACCTCCTGCCGGTCAGTGCCCTGGTTAGTCCAGCAACCCACCCACGAAGCACAAACAGCAATACAGCCCACCCACAATAACTGGTTACTACACCTGGATAAAATAGCAACTTGTCCATGTCCAGGTGCCTCACCACAGCTGTGCGGGGGGCTGGTAGACTGCCTTGGTGGGTTGCTGAGTGGGCAGAGACCAGCGGTACTCTGCCCGGGTGCCAGCGCTACCACTGAAGTAGCCTGGTTGGAGCCTGGTTGGGGGAGGGGGAGACCGACTGTCTCCCCTCTGGATACACTGCTCTGTGGCTGGGGGACAGGACCGACCGTCCCTGCCCCTGGTGCTGCAAGTGCAGAGACTACGGTCCCATCTGCATAGTTGTGGGGCTTAACATCTCCCCTTGGTGGGTTAGGCTGCCGCTGGAGAGAGGGTGTAACAAGCTCCTCTCTCTGAACTGTAGACTGCCGCTGGGGAGAGGGGGTAACCTGCTCCTCTCCCTGACACTCTCTTTGCTGGTGGAGAGGGGGACCAACTGTCTCCCCTTTCAATATTTTGTCCTGCGGCTGGGGTGCGAGACAGATGGTCTCTGCTTCCTGGGGTACACACTGCCGCTGGGGAGGGGGGGTAACAAGCTCCTCTCCCATACATACTTTCAGCCGCTGGGGAGAGGGGATAACAAGCTCCTCTCCCTGACACTCTCTCTGCTGTTGGAGAGGGGGACCAACTGTCTCCCCTTTTAATATATTGCCCTGCTGCTGGGGAGCGAGACCGACTGTCTCCGCTTCCTGCAGGACACACTGCCGCTGGGGAGGAAGTACAGCACCTTCAGCTCCCTGGGATACATACTGCCGCTGGGGATCTGGGCTGACTGCCCAGCATCCCTGTAGGGCCTGTAGAGAGACCTCGGTCCCATCCCCACCTGCCAGCTGGGTGTCTTCCCAGGACAAGTCAATAAGGTCTTCCATCTCTGGGGCTGGTTGGGACATATGTGGTACAGTACCAAGGTTTCCTGATAACAGGCTTGGTTGCTGGGGAGGAGGAACTAAACTCAATGCTTCCGGTGGTATACAGTCCATAAGCCCCATCATGTCAGAGACATGCGGCGTTATACGTTGGAATAGGCAAACATAATCCTGTTCTAGTTCCCACTCTCGGTTGGCAAGAAAAGATAGATCTGGCTGAATGGCATCGATCTCTGTAAGGTCCCAGTTGTCTGCCCGCTCAGCTCGAATGGACCAGAAGCGAGCAATGTCGGTGTCTCCGAACCAGAGACAAGTTTCAATAGTATCCAACAACAAACCAGGGCCATCGTAGTCTTCCCCCTCAATACACTTGTACTCAATCAGCCATGGGTAGAGGTGGTAAACATGCCACCGCAGGGCCCGATAGGAATCATCCAGCCACACCTCAGTCTCAACTAGCGTCTCCAGTTCGCTTACCCATTCCTCTGAGGGCTGGTTTCCCAATAACGGCATCCGCAGCTCTAGTTGTTCTGCTTGGCGCTGGTTAGTGGTCAGGATTTCCTCGCACCGGAAGGGTCGAATTTCGTCGATGTCCTCCTTCCAGAGATCGGTACGAAGCGCCACCCTCCACTCTGTCTCTCTTTCCTCTGGGATAGGATACTCCATACTGCGCATCACATCCTGTAGTTGCTGCTGGAGCCTGGCGTCAAAGTGAGATACTGCACGGCCTTCCATCTCTGAAGTAGTGCTGGTTTTCCCAAATCTTTATGTAGACAGGGACGCTGTATGAACACTAGCGTCGCCTTCAATTTGTAAATCCACGAACTGTGTCTCTGAGCTGCTTTTACCTCGCACTAGGACGCCATCCCACCGCTGCCACCAATGTAACGGATCACCTGGCACCCCGACTGGGTACCTCCGTTAAAGGATGCTCCTAGCGCTTCCTGAGGACTCCAAGCACTGCAGCAGACACCACAATCACTGAACCAGAGAAGCGTATACCTTCTCTCAAGCATTTGAATGCTGTAGACAGTTGAATAGGAACCATACGAATAGGTTTACTCTCCTAGCAGTCAAACTGGAACAGCATACAATAAATCCTTCCCCCAATAATGAGACGACACTTCACTTTGAGGGTTAAAACAGGAACTCCCTGTACTGTCACATACAGTCTCTTTTATTCCCAATCCACAAACATAGTACAGCCCACAGGGCGTTACAAAACAACCAATCACATCACAGTTACATCCCACATATTCCCTCCCCTTATCCTGAGAGGAAACTCAATTATACATACAGTTAAAACATACTTTCTACCCAACTTTCATAACTCCAAAACCATACATCACATTCACATAAAATTACATATTCACAATCAATCCATTCAGGGGAACAACATATTCAAAAATGGCACAAATCAGACAAGGGGTTCAAAAGTTAGTAAAAAGTCCTTTGTGACTAAATGAAGCATGGCTTTCTGGCCCAAACCAGTTTCAGAGTCTTCTATCCTGGAGATAAGTAATTCAATTATCTCCCAGGACAGACACAAGACTCCATTAAGCACATGGTTGCAAAAAGACACAAAACACTTTAAAATACATAAAGTCACATTTTACACATAACACACAGACATTTCACATATCCCCAGATAGCTCAGGTCTGAGCGCACATTATTAAGTGAATGGCGCTCGGACCACACAAATACAGTTTAATCGCCATGGAACCAAAGTCTTTACAGTCAGTTTCATACGAATGGGCTCCATGGGATTCCTATCTGGGGTATAACACATTCACATAAGGTCTGGTCCATAGTCCAAAGGCAAGAGGCGGGCAAGCAGCTCCCTCCAAGGACACGTGGCGAGGCCGGTTTCGCCACAATATATATATATATATATATATATATATATATGTATATATATATACACGTATATATATATATATATATATATATATATATATAAATAAATCCTCAGGTAGTGATCAGCACTCACAGACTTGAAGGATTAAAATTCCCGAAGTTTATTGAATTTCCATTAAAATATGATCAACGTTTCAGTCCCCTTTGGGACTTTCATCAGGATCAGGCTTGATCCTGATGAAAGTCCCAAAGGGGACTGAAATGTTGATCATATTTTAATGCAAATTCAATAAACTTTGGAATTTTAAGCCTTCAAGTCTGTGAGTGCTGATCACTACCTGAGAATTACATTTCCTTCCCTGGATTACTAGCACCCGGTAAATATCTCATTAAGCGTGAGTGCAAGGACTGCTTATATTCTGTTATATATATATATATATATATATATATATATATATATATATATATATATAAATATGGCAGAATATATACTTCCCCCTTCCAGCTCCCTCCTTACGTTCTGATGTCATGTTATGGACAGCTCTGATGTCACTGCTGAGTGCTGAGTGGCAAGGGAATTTGTAACTTGTGGTGGTTTTATATTTCGTTCTGCTGGGTCACAAAGTACCTGGCCCTGGGACACCGCTACCTAGAAGCCTGCGTCCTGCTCACAGCTGAGCTTCACCCGAATTTTGGAACCAGGGTACACAGTAGCACGTGTGGGACACTCACCCTTGACATGATGCTAGGTACCTGACGCTGCATCTTCCCTGCCGACTCTGATATTCTTTTAGTACACAAGGCACCAATTAAGGCTCTCTAATGCCGGCACTCCCAATAAACCATCCCACTATGGATTCCATTTTCCAGGTCAGCCTCCTGCTCTTCCGGGCACGCTGCTCGGCACACGGTCAGCAGCAACAAACCGTAAGCTTTCTGGCTCTCAGGGTCTTGCACACCACAGACGAACATATTTCACTTCATAGTCCTCTATACACACTCGGCCTCATTAGGCCTGCAGGACACTTTGACATAGGCAACCTCGTCCATACGTATTCCCCAAATGTAAATGGTTGCATGTAAAATAGAACTCAAGGCTCACTCGCATTCAGACATTCAGCTAGTTCGGATTCTGCATTCTCATTTCACGGTACTTGACTTATGTTGTTACTGGATATTGTTTAATTTATGTTTGTAAAACAGGAGGTGGCTATATGTATTTTATATGTACAGTATTTCAAAAAGTATTCACTTTTGTTGCCAACGGTTTAGACATAAATGGCTGTGTGTTGAGTTATTTTGAGGGGACAGCAAATTTACACTTTTATACAGGCTGTGCACTTACTACTTTACATCGTAGCAGAGTGTCATTTCTTCAGTGTTGTCACATGAAAAGAATTAATAAAATATTAACAAAAATGTGAGGGGTGTACTCACTTTTGTGAGCTACTGTATATAGGGAACTATCATTTTTGCATACTGTATTGTACCTAACAAGGCTACTTATGTTAGACATAATTTGGCATCTATGGGGCTTTAGGCTACAAACGGAATTAACTTCAGGTTAGGTATAGACATCCAGATGCTTGATAAGCTACTTTTGCTAGTTTGGCCTGTCCTGTGCTTATAGCTTTTACTACATTACTACATATAGGCTGTTTCTGTTCGGCACAAGCATTCAGGATCTCGATCAGTCAACTGTTCAGTCTAATTAAGAGGGAAGACTCAGCTGTTTTTTTATGTAAAACGACATGTTATTGTACTGTTTGTATTTATATTTTCCTTGTTAAAAATAAATACTTATCACCACATAAAAAATAAAAAAAAGTTTGTTTTTTAAACAGCATTATTTATGGGATCTGACATATCCACATATTACAGATCCTGAAAACACAGGTAAATGCATTTATTTTAATGGGAAAAATTAAAAAAGCTATGCAATATAATAAGGTACTTTATACTATAGTACTTGCAACATGCTTATGACGATACTCTCTGCTACAACACTAACAACTTACAGCGTACTGTAATACTGTATAATACTGCACTCCGCAACTTAATGATTACTACGATACTCTAGGCTACCATACTCTAGAATTTACTACCGACTGCGATACTATATACTTCCATAAACTGCAACTTATGCATACTATGAGACGCAATACTACATTGATAGATTTCTGCTGTAATATTATCATTATTATTTTTATTGGTATTTATATAGCGCCAACTAATTCTACAGCACTTTACAATATTATGAAAGTGGGGGGTGGGGGTGTACAATAAATGAGACAATTACACAGTGACACAGGAACAATAGGTAGAGGGCCCTGCTCAAACAAGCTTACAGTCTAGAGGAGGTGGGGTCAGTGGTGTATCCTGGTTTTGTGCTGCCCTAGGCAGGACAAAACTCAGGCCACCTGCGCACCCCCAGTGCCTCTCCCATCCAACCCTTCCCCCTCCCCTGCCTTCTAAATACACACACATTCACTGACAGATACGCATACACTAGCTAACAGAAACACCCTCACACTCACTAACAGACACACACACAGATACACACTAACAGACACACACACACTCACTCGCAGACACACACACACACACTCACTCGCAGACACACACACAGGCAAACACACTAACACTAACAGACACACACTAACACTAACAGACACACACACACACTAACAGACATTCACACACACTCACTCACATTAACACTTTTTTTTTTATTTAACTCCCCCTTTCCTTACCTTTGGGAATGCTTGGGGAGGTTTTCTTTCTCCCTGGGGGTTCTGTGGCTGCTGGGCAGGCGGCGCAGGTGGGAGGCTGGCGAGGGAGCACTTCCTCTGAGCTGTCTGCTCAGCTCCCTCGCGCGCCGCCCACAGAGTGAGGCTGGGAGCCGGAATATGACGTCATCTTACGGCTCCCAGCCTCACTCTGCGGCGCGCAAGGGAGCTGAGCAGACAGCTCAGAGGAAGTGCTCCCTCGCCAGCCACCCGCCAGCACCCCCCGACCGCCCAGCAGCCAGCCAATCCGCCTGACCGGCATGTCAGTTAGCCGCAAGGCTAACAAGACATTTGCCGTGGGCATTTGGGGGCGGCTTTTTTTGCCGCCTCCTGGAAAATGCCGCCCAAGGCAAATGCCTTGTTTGCCTCACGGCTAAAACGTCCCTGGATGGGGTACATATACAAACACACCCTGCACAGTTAACTCAACCTTATAATGTATATTATGTTCTCACTTTACATTGCTCACAGTATAGAATTGTGTATATGTATTGTCTGCTGCCACTACATCTGATAAGCTCTGTGCCCACAACTTGACATTAAGAGCTCTTCACTAAAATAGATATGTTTTCATTCTTGACATAAATCAGCACAGTGTAATTTGTGATATTTTCCTATTTAAACTTGTTCAAGTAGTAATATATAGGGGTTCATTCCTTTCCAAATAACCTTGACCGGCCTCTGTTGGTAAGCATTTGGCCCATGTTTTTGGCCACCAAACCATTTATTTCATTTTAGAAGTTTAACTTGTTGTCAGCAATACATAGGTAATCTTATTGTATGTTTAACAAAACTGTAGTGTATTAAGGGCAGGTATTAACTTGTTGGCCTTGGAAATGAAGTCTATAGATATTACCAGGGGCGTACCTAGAGCATGTGGCACCCGGGGCGGGACCTGGGTTTGGCACCCCCCCTCCTCAAAAAAAGAAAAAACCTACAAAATTTTTAAAATGTGGTTTTTTTTACATTTTTAAACATGTATTACACAAATTTGTAAACTTTTTAAAACCTCTGCCCCCTTCTACAAAATCCCTGCACCCCCTCAAACACCGTTACAGGCAGACAGTCACAAACAGTTACAAGCAGACAGTAACACGCACACAGTCACATGCAGACAGTCACACATATAGTCACAGGCAGTCATACACACAGTTACAGGTAGAGAGTTACACACACACACAGTAGGTTACAAGCAGCAACACACAGTCACGCACACTGATACAGGCAGACAGTCACATGTACATGACACACACACGGTCAAAGGCAGACAGTCATACACATAGTTACAGCCACACTCACACAGTTACACGCAGCATCACACAGTCACAGGCAGACTGTCACACACAGTCACAGTCAGACAGGTACACACAGTCACAGGCAGTCACACACACACAGTTACAGGCAGTTACACACACAGAGTTACAGGCAGACAGTTACACACACACAGTTACAGGCAGACAATTACACAGACACACACAGTTACAGGCAGAGAGTTACATACAAACACACACACACACAGTTACAAGCAGACCGTTTTACACACACACACACACACATTTACATTCAGACCATTACACACACACACAGACACACACAGTTACAGGCAGACAGTTTTACACACACACACACACACACACACACACACACACACACACACACTTACAGGCAGACATTTACACAAACACACACTTAGTTGGAAAGTAACACACAAACAAACACACAGTTACAGGCAGATTGTTACACACAAACAAACACACAGTTACAGGTAGATTGTTAAACACACACACACTTAGACAATAACACACACACACACACACACATACAGTTACAGGCAGACCGTTACACAGTTACAGACAGTCACAGACAGTCACACACACACACACACACACAGTTACAGGTAGACAGTTACACACACACACACATACACACACACACACACACACAATTACAGGCAGATAGTTACACACACACACACTTAGACAGTAACACACACACACACACAGTTACATTCAGATAGTTACACACACACACACACACACAGTTACAGGCAGACAGTTACACACACACACACACTCACTCACTTACAGACAGTGTGGGCTGGAGGAGTGGATTCCCTGGCCTGAAGTCCTTCCCTGGAGCCTGGTAGGTGGAGGAGCAGGGATTTCTTCTTGCTTCACCTCCATGTGCAGCAATAACAGCACCGGGTAAGGGCTGTGTTAAGTCCCGCTCCCACTCGCGGATTGGCCCTGCCCCCAAATGGCCATAGCTCCGCCACCTTCTTCTTTCCGTGCGGCTAGTTCAGCAATTAGGCTCTATGTGTGAGCTGTGCGACACCCCAGCTGCCATGGGGTGCAGCTTACACATCCCCCATTAGCCCTCAGACCAGGGTCATGGCACCCCCATACCTGGTGGCACCCAGGGCGAACCGCCCCCCCCCCCTTAGTCCGCCACTGGTTGGTGAAGCCACAGATATATTTA